CAGCACTATGAACTGGGCTGACTCGCAGGGCCGTCAGCTTGAAAGATACTTTTACCTATTCGGCACAACATTATATACATAAATATAAATATATATATATATATATATATATATATATATATATATATATATATATATATATATATATATATATATATATATATGTGTGTGTGTGTGTGTGTGTGTGTGTGTGTGTGTGTGTGTGTGTGTGTGTGTGTGTGTGTGTGTGTGTGTGTGTGTGTGTGTGTGTGTGTGTGTGTGTGTGTGTGTGTGTGTGTGTGTGTGTGTGTATGTGTGTGTGTGTGTGTGTGTGTGTGTGTGTGTGTGTGTGTGTGTGTGTGTGTGTGTGTGTGTGTGTGTGTGTGTGTGTGTGTGTGTGTGTGTGTGTATGTGTGTGTATGTGTGTGTGTGTGTGTGTGTGTGTGTTCTATTCATTCTTACCTATCTGTGGTTGCAGGGGTCTAGTCATAGCTCTTGGCCCCACCTCTTCACTGGTCACTACTATGTGCACTCTCTGCCCGCTTCATAAGCCTTATGTACGGAACCTGTCTCCACTACATCAGTTTCCAGATTATTCCACTTCCTGACAACTCTATGACTGAAGAAATACTTCCTAACATCCTTGCAACTCATCTGAGTCTTCAGTTTCCAGTTGTGACCCCTTGTTTCTGTGTCCCATCTCTGAAACATCCTGTTCCTATCTACCTTGTCAGTTCCTGTCAGTATTTTATATGTCGTTATCATGTCCCCCAATCCCCAATTCCTCCTGTCTTCCAGTGTCGTCAGGTTGATTTCCCTAAACCTCTCCTCGTAGGACAATCCCCTTAACTCCGGGACTAGTCTTGTTGCAAACCTTTGCACTTTCTCTAATGCGCTGACGTGCTTGGCCAAGTGTGGATCTTTTTACATTAGTGAGGTTTGCAGTTTTTGATCCTCCAGCCTGTACTCTGTCTGCGGTATTCTTTAATCTCCCCAAATCCTCATGAATTTGCATTTGATGGGGTTAAACTCCAGGAGCCAGTTGTTGGACCAGGCTTGCTGATCCCATTTTTGCCCTGCGTGATCCTCATCCACTTGAATGAATTCTCCGCATTAGCTTCAAGTCACTCACATATACCAGAAACAGCACCAGTCCTAGGACTGACCCTCCTGGGACCCCGCTCGTCACAGGCTCCCACTCTGACACCTCGTCACGTACCATCACTTCCTGTTATTCCCGCCTGCTCTTCTAGCCTTTGCACTAATATCTTCCGCGGAACTGTGTCAAAAGCCTTCTTAGAGTCCAAGAAAATGTAGTCTACCCACTCCTCTCTCTCTCCTGGCTTACTTCTGCCATCTTGTCGTGAAACTCCAGTAATAATAATAATATCTTTATTTACTACCAGTACATGTACAAGGTATACAGAACATAGCTGACATCAATGACATACTACTATATAGAAAGCCACTTGGGCAAATTAGGTCAGTTTTGTCACAGGATGCGACTCACACCAGTCCACTAACACCCAGGTACCCATTTTGAATTGATGGGTGAACAAGGACAGCAGGTGTCTTATGGAAACACGTCCCTAATGTTTTCCAGCCGTACTGGAGAAGATTCGAACCCCGGACCTCAGTGTGTGAGCTGAGTGCGTGCTGGTTATCGTGTATCAGCTCATTCCTTTCTAAGTACTCCACCAGTCTTTTCCTGACAAGCTTCTCCATGACTTTGCATACTATACATGTCAGTGACATTGGGAGTAAATCTGGTGTCTTCCGCCCCTCAGGTAGTGGCCCGGTTTCGATAAATGTGTTGAAGATTGTTGTTAGTGGCGCACACAGTGCCTTTACTACCTCTCTCAAGGCCCACTGAGAGATGTTGTCCGATCCCACCGCCTTTGAGGTATCTGGTTCACTTAGCAGCATACACTTGTTAGTGTACCCTACCATTCCGGTTTACTGGAATCCTTTCTGTCTCCACTGAAAATCCTTCCTTAAATCCCATGTTTCGCACTTCACATACTTCTTGGCGTTTCTTGAGATCTCCCTTTCATCCTTTCTCAGCCTGAATATCTGGTCCTCCTCATGTGGCTGTACGACAGTTTTGGGTCAGATTTGGCTCTCGATGTTATGTCATTCTCATATTGCCACTGGGCCTCCCTCCTTATCCATCCATATTCAATTCTGGCTCTTCTGCTAATTTCCTAATTTTCCTGGGTCCTTTGTCTTCTATACTTTTTCCATTCTCTATTGCACTTAGTTTTGGCCTTTCTACACCTTTAGGTGAACCAAGGGCTCGTTCTGCTCTTCCCAGTGGTTCTGTTGCCCTTGGGTACCAACATTATTATTATTATAATTATTATTATTATTATTATTATTATTATTATTATTATTATTATTATTATTATTATTATTATTATTATTATTATTATTATTATTACTATTTGTGGTTACGAATACTATCACTTCGTTTATTGTTTTTCCCACCAGTTTTCTTTCCCACTGTATATCATGCAGGAAGTTCCTCATACCTGTGTAGTCCCCTCTTTTATAGTTTGGCTTCTCTCGTCCTACTCGTGCTGCTTCCCTCTTCACTTTTAGCTCTACAATGTATTCAAAGCTCAGGACCACATGATCACTAGCCCCGAGGCATCTTTAATATATGATGTCCCCAGTGTCTGAACTACTCAAGGTAAATAAGAGGCCCAGTCTTGCTGGTTCATCCTCATCTCTCTCTCTGGTAGTGCCCCTAACATGTTGATGCATGAGATTTTCCAGTACTACATCCATCATCTCAGTGCTCCACGTCTCTGGTCCCCATTGTGGCTCTAGGTTTTCCCAATCTCCTTATGACTGAAGACACCCACAACTAGTAACTTCGCCCTGCCCAAGTGAGCCCTTCTGGCATCCTCGGCTAGTATACCAACCATTGCCCTGTTGTTCTCATCATACTCGTTTCTTGGCTTCTTGCTATTCTTTGGTGGGTTGTATATCACTGAAATCGCCATCTTGGGATCCCCAGTCTGAAGTGTTGCTTCCTTTCTGTCACCTTCCAACTACTCAAGATTCCACTGGCTTTTGATGAGCAGTGTAACTCCTCCTCCCCATTTGTTCCCTCTCTCTTTCCTCATGAACTGATATCTGGTTGGAAAAATTGCATCTGTTATCATTCCAGTGAGCTTGGTTTCTATGAGTGCTATGATGCCTGGGAATGTCTCCATGATTCTTTCAAGCCACTCCTCGCACTTACACATTATTTCATCTGCATTGGTGTACCATACCTTCAGCTCCTTTTCCAAAATTGCATTCTGGGGTGTTTGTGGTGGTTGGCATGACACTGTGAGAGGCTGCTGTGTAAGTGGGATTTGTGCTGGGGGAGGTTCCGTGGGTGTAGAGTGTGGTTTGTTTTGGGGTTAATTTGTTTGGTTTCTGTAGGTGATTGTGTTCGCTGGTCCTCCTGACTCTGGGTGCCCTTGCCTGTCTCTAGCCTTGCCTCTCTTTCTTGCTCCTTGCGTCTTTGTATCTTCTCAGTTTCTGTCATTCTGTACATGTTCTATTGCAGTCGAGTACATCTGCTTGTATTCTGTTTTCTTTAGCTGTGGTTTCTGCTGCAGGATCTTGCTACACACCGTTTTTGTCCTGAAAATCAATTTGACTGGTCGATTTTTCCCCTCGAGTATTCCTCGATTCTCTGAAAATTTATCAGTTTAGTGATGTCCTCCTCTCCTGTTTGATGATGTTTTCAAACTCTTTTTCCTCTCCCTGTCATCTTTGTGTCCTTCTTTCGGTCTCCTGAAACCAATGGATAAAAACTGACCCCTCCTTCTCCTCTTCCTATTGCCTTTCCCTCTGCATCTCTGAGCTCGATTTAAGCATCATCATTATTGCTTTCCTTAGCATTTCCTGGATCTCTCGGTGGCTTGATAGTGTCTCTACAGGGAACTTATCACCGTCCCCAGCTACCATCCCCTCACTTACCCTTATCCCTGTATGCCACTTTCTCTCAACATTTCCTGGGCGTTTTTGTGACCTGACAGAACTTTTTGTGTGCGTGTGTGTACTCATCTAGTTGTAGTTGCAGGGGTCGTGTCACAGTGTGTGTGTGTGTTCACCAGAGCGTTTGCACCCATCAGTATTTATACACTGTAACTCAAACCAGATATCGTAAATAATGTTACTAACATTGATGTATATACATGTGTACAAGGGTAGAATCTAAGATGAAAGCAAGTAGTGTCTACCGAAAGGTCTTGTGAGGAAGAAATGCTGTACAAGGTGTTGTGTGGTTAACAGTGCTTATCAGACGGTGTTGTGTGGTTGATAGTGTCTACCAGGTGGTGATGTGTGGTTGACAGTGTCTATCAGACTATATTGTGTGTCTGCCAGACGGTGATGTGTGGTTGACAGTGTCTATCACACTATGTTGTGTGTCTACTAGACGGTGTTGTGTGGTTGACACTGTCTACCACACGGTGATGTGTGGTTATAGTGTCTATCAGACGGTGTTGTATCGTTGATAGTGTCTATCAGAGGGTGTTGTGTGATTAATAGTGCCTATCAGATGGCAATGTGTGGTTTACAGTGCCTATCAAATGGCATTGTGTAGTTAACAGTGCCTGTCAGATTGTGTTGTGTGTCTACCAAACTGTGTTGTGTGGCTGGTAGTGTCTATCATACGATGATGTATAGTAGATGGTGTCTAGCAGACGGTGTTGGGGTTGATAGTGTTTGATAGTGTCTACCAGAGAGCGTTGTGTGGATGATAGTGTCTAAAAGACGGTATTGTATGGATAGTGTCTATCAGACAATGTTGTGTAGTTGACAGTGTCTATCGGATGGTGTTGTGTGGTTGATAGTGTCTACCAGATGGTGTTATGTGGTTGATAGTGTTTACAAGTAAATAGTGTCTACCAGAAGATACTTTGGGGTAGATTGTATCTACACGAAGGTATTATCGGGTAGATAGCATAGATTCTAGCAGAGGGCATTGTGGGGTGGCCAGCATGAACCAGGAAGTATTTTGCGGTAGAAAAAGAGTCCTGGAAGCTGTAGTCACCATGCGTCTACACTCACCGCATGTCTGCGGGCGATAGCGATGCGGTTGTCGACTCGAGAGTTGATAGCCAGGGCGATATCCGAAAGCAGCGCCTCCTCCTGAGCCTGTTGGCGAGGTAAACACAAGTTCACTTCTCTGAATGTAAACAGGGTAGTGCGACCCCGGCAAGCCAGGGATCTGGAACTCACACTCAGACCTCAGTAGTACAATGTGCCTACCTTGGTACTGTGTTTCCATAGTTACAATAACAGTAACAGCCTCCGTGACTGAGAACGGGCCTTGAAGAGTTCAGTGACTCCTGGAACTATTTGCATGAATTATATTCCTTGTTAATATAACATTTCAAAAGATAGATCGCATAGAGTAATGTGGTAATGTTAAAAATAACATTTAGAAGCCAGAGGCAGATATTTGGATAACGCTAGGACTAACACTCTCAGAAGACAGTGGCAGACATGTGGGTAATGATGGAACTAACACTCTCAGAAGACAGTGGCAGACATGTGGGTAATGCTGGAACTAACACTCTCGGAAGACAGAGGCAGACATGTGGGTAATGCTGGAACTAACACTCTCGGAAGACAGTGGCAGACATGTGGGGGATAAATTGGAAGGTGGAGACAGTGGATATGAACAACACTCTCGGAAGACAGTGGCAGACATGTGGGTAATGCTGGAACTAACACTCTCGGAAGACAGTGGCAGACATGTGGATAATGATGGAACTAACACTCTCGGAAGACAGTGGCAGACATGTGGGTAATGCTGGAACTAACACACTCAGAAGACAGAGGCAGACATGTGGGTAATGCTGGGACTAACACTCTCGGAAGACAGTGGCAGACATGTGGGTAATGCTGGAACTAACACACTCAGAAGACAGTGGCAGACATGTGGGTAATGCTGGAACTAACACACTCGGAAGACAGTGGCAGACATGTGGGTAATGATGGAACTAACACTCTCGGAAGACAGTGGCAGACATGTGGGTAATGATGGAACTAACACTCTCGGAAGACAGTGGCAGACATGTGGGTAATGCTAGGACTAACACTCTCGGAAGACAGAGGCAGACATGTGGGTAATGCTGGAACTAACACTCTCGGAAGACAGTGGCAGACATGTGGGTAATGCTAGGACTAACACTCTCGGAAGACAGAGGCAGACATGTGGGTAATGCTGGAACTAACACTCTCGGAAGACAGTGGCAGACATGTGGGTAATGCTGGAACTAACACTCTCGGAAGACAGAGGCAGACATGTGGGTAATGATGGAACTAACACTCTCGGAAGACAGTGGCAGACATGAGGGTAATGATGGAACAAACACTCTCGGAAGACAGTGGCAGACATGTGGGTAATGATGGAACTAATACACTCAGAAGACAGAGGCAGACATGTGGGTAATGCTGGAACTAACACTCTCGGAAGACAGTGGCAGACATGTGGGTAATGCTGGAACTAACACTCTCGGAAGACAGAGACAGACATGTGGGTAATGCTGGAACTAACACTCTCGGAAGACAGAGACAGACATGTGGGTAATGATGGAACTAACACTCTCAGAAGACAGTGGCAGACATGTGGGTAATGCTGGAACTAACACTCTCGGAAGACAGAGACAGACATGAGGTAATGATGAACAAACACTCCGGAAGCAGTGCAACATGTGGGTAATGCTGGAACTAACACTCTCAGGAAGACAGAGACAGACATGTGGGTAATGCTGGAACTAACACTCTCGGAAGACAGAGGCAGACATGTGGGTAATGCTGGGACTAACACTCTCGGAAGACAGAGGCAGACATGTGGGTAATGATGGAACTAACACTCTCAGAAGACAGTGGCAGACATGTGGGTAATGATGGAACTAACACTCTCAGAAGACAGTGGCAGACATGTGGGTAATGATGGAACTAACACTCTCGGAAGACAGTGGCAGACATGTGGGTAATGCTGGAACTAACACTCTCAGAAGACAGTGGCAGACATGTGGGTAATGCTGGAACTAACACTCTCGGAAGACAGTGGCAGATATGTGGGTAATGATGGAACTAACACTCTCGGAAGACAGTGGCAGACATGTGGGTAATGATGGAACTAACACTCTCAGAAGACAGTGGCAGACATGTGGGAAATGCTGGAACTAACACTCTCGGAAGACAGTGGCAGACATGTGGGTAATGCTGGAACTAACACTCTCGGAAGACAGTGGCAGACATGTGGGTAATGATGGAACTAACACTCTCGGAAGACAGTGGCAGACATGTGGGTAATGATGGAACTAACACTCTCGGAAGACAGTGGCAGACATGTGGGTAATGCTGGAACTAACACTCTCGGAAGACAGTGGCAGACATGTGGGTAATGATGGAACTAACACTCTCGGAAGACAGTGGCAGACATGTGGGTAATGCTGGAACTAACACTCTCGGAAGACAGACACAGACATGTGGGTAATGATGGAACTAACACTCTCATAAGACAGTGGCAGACATGTGGGTAATGCTGGAACTAACACTCTCGGAAGACAGACACAGACATGTGGGTAATGCTGGAACTAACACTCTCGGAAGACAGTGGCAGACATTTATTTTTATTTATTTATTTATTTTCAATTTGAGCACACTTACAGAGGTACAAAAAAAAAAAAAATACAGGTAAGAGCAGTATGCCAAAGCCACTTATACTATGCATAGCATTACGGGCTGGCTTAAAATTAACTTAAGATTAACTAAGCAATGATGAAATCAGTGATAAAACATTAATGTAAACAGATTACTATAAAGCACAAGTGAGTATTACAAAGACAGGTCATATGGTTGCATTCAGTTAGGTAGTGATTCTGTTAGGTAGTGTATTTAAAAAAATAATAAAGTTAGATTCGGTTTTAGGTTTAACATTTATGTGATATAATTGTGAGAAACATTTAAGATATACAATTTATAAGGTTCAGTTATTCAGTATTTATTTGGTTTTGGGTGAGTAAGTGATCTTTGAGAAGAGACTTGAATTTATAAACAGGTTGTGTTTCTTTTATATTACAGGTAATGAATTCCAGATTTTAGGGCCTTTTATGTGCATTGAGTTTTTGCATAGTGTGAGATGGACACGAGGAACATCAAAGAGTGATCTGTGCCTTGTGTTATGGTCATGTGTTCTGTTGAGGTTGGCAAGGAGACGTTTGAGGGGAGGGTTAATATCAGAGTTAAGTGTTCTATGTATGTAATAGGTGCAGTAATAAGTATGGATGTTTTGTATGGTGAGTAGGTTTAGTGTATTGAATAATGGTGGAGTGTGCTGCCTGTAGTGAGAATTTGTTATCATTCTAACTGCAGCCTTTTGTTGAGTAATTAGTGTCTGAGATGGTTAATTGTTGTTGAGCCCCATGCACAAATTCCATAGGTGAGATAGGGGTAAATAAGAGAGTGATATAGGGCCAGGAGGGCTGACTGTGGAACATAGTACCGTATCTTCGATAGTATGCCTACAGTCTTGGAAATTTTCTTAGAAATTTGTTGTATATGTGTATGAAATTTGAGTCTATTATCAAGGTGGATTCCTAAGAATTTTCCCTCTGTTAATTTTGTGATACGTGATCCGTTTATCATTATGTTGAGAGGGACATCTGTAGCTCTGTTACCAAACTGAATGAAGTAGGTTTTGTCAATGTTTAGTGTAAGTTTGTTAGTCCTCATCCAGGTAGATATTTTCTGTAATTCGGTATTTACAGTATTGGCTAGCGTGACTGGGCTCAGGTGAGAGAAGACGTATGTAGTGTCATCTGCAAATAGTGTGGGTTTGAGTAATTGCGAAGCATTTGGAAGGTCATTTATGTATAGGAGAAAGAGAAGAGGGCCAAGGACACTTCCCTGTGGGACACCAACTGTAATTGGTTGTGCAGAAGAGTTTGCCCCATTTGCGTACACATATTGGCTTCTGTTGCTGAGGTATGGCTTGAGGTAGTTGAGGGAGTGCCCTCTTATACCATAGTGTGACAATTTTACGTGGAGCAAGTCATGGTCAACTGTATCAAAAGCTTTACGTAAGTCAATGAAGATCCCCAGTGGGATTTCTTTTTTCTCTATTGCAGTGTATATATGTTCTAGCATGTGTATAATAGCATCATTAGTATTTTTATTAGGCCTGAATCCAAATTGGCAGGGGTTGAGTATGTTTTGGGAGATAAGGTAGGAGTAGATTCGTTTATGAATTAATTTTTCAAAGATTTTTGAGAGAGGGTGTAAGTTGGATATTGGCCTATAGTTATTCAACTCTGTTTGGTCTCCTCCTTTGTGGATCGGGGTGACCCTTGCTATTTTGAGAACTGTAGGGAAGGTGGAGGATTCAATGGATTTGTTAAAGAGTGTTGCAATGATTGGTGATAGCACTTGTGACACTTTTTTGTATATAAAGGGTGGTAAGGTATTTAAATCTCCTACCTTGTTTTTTAGTGCGTTGATAATAAGGGAGACTTCGTATGGGTTAGTCGGAGCTAGGAACAGAGTGTTCGGGTAGTTGCCGGTGAGGTAGTCATATGGTGGGGTATCTGAGCTTGGGATTTTTGGCAAGGTTTTGTCCTATAGTGGAGAAGAAATCATTGAGTCTGTTTGCTGTTTCTGTTGGTGGGAGTTGGGGTTTATCTGATTTTGCTAATTTTATTTCGCTATTTCGTGATATCTTTTTTGTTCCCAGAATTTCTGATAGGGTTTTCCAGGTCTTTTTTATATCACCTCGTAAGTTGGATAATCTGTTCTCATAATACAATTTTTTTGCCCTTCTTATTAGGCTGGTTAGGATTGACGAGTAACGTTTTGTTTGGTCTCTGGTTATGTGACCCATTCTGTACTGTTTTTCATATTGGTGTTTTGTATTTATGGATTTGAGAATGCTGGGTGTTAGCCAGGGACTGTTCAGTCTCTTTGCTGTCATCTGTTTAGTTTTTTTAGGGCAGTGCTTGTTATAGAGGTATTGGTTTTTTTTTTTAGAAAATTATTAATACATTCGTCAATATCTGTATAGGTTTCTAGCTCGGTGTGCCAATCAATGTTTGCTATTGCTGTTGTGAAGTTATTAATGGCTGCCTCATTGTGAAGTCTGAAGG